ATACTAAGTTTAAAGTAGCCTATCAATAGAATGTAGCGCTCACCTTTGTCCTGTCATTGTTTATGTATTAAGCATGTGTGCACTTTAATAACTGCCGGTGTGATAGATTAATAATAGAGCTTTTATTTGCCACCTTGCCTGACCCCGCTGCTTTCCACTGCATGAGCAGACTGGATGAACTGTTAGAGCCTGTGTACTGTCCACACTATCAGTAGCATTCTCCGCCTGATAGCAGGTGGAGAGATAAAGGCTTGCTTTTACAAGAACAGATCTGAGCCATGCACAGAAGATATAGTCATAGAAGAAAAAATATCCACCACAACTACACGGAGAGGCTAAAGCGGTTATTGTCAGGCTGGTATAATGTTACTTTTTGAACTACAAAGGACAATACAAAATGAGTTTAGTGAGTAAAAAAATAAAGTAAAAAACATAAAATTATATGTTAAAGTATGAAAGAGGACTCCAGCATGTCTAACCCTGTCTGTCCTTTCTGGCTTTCCAGTTTGGAACATTTTCAGCAGCAGGACAGGGCAGAGGAGATCAGGTCAGCAGCTGTTTGTGTTGCCAGTCAGTCTTTAAGGGGGATTAGAGGCGAGATCCCACAGCTGACAGCTTCGATGACTGCCACACAGATAGCCGACCCTGTAATGGATCTGGAAGTGGGAGAGGCAGCACAGCATTACTAGCTTTCTATCACATCAAAGAGAAATTCAGAGTCACACAGTACAGAACAAGCTTGACAGATGTAGGAAGCGAAAGATTTCAAAGATTCTGGAAAGAAAATTACCTAGAGATGTGTCCAGAGCAGTGTTGGTCAAGTTACTTGAAAAAAGTAATCAGTAACTAACTACTGATTACTTCCCCAAAAAAGTATTCCCGTTACTTTACTGATTACTTATTTTCAAAAGTAATTAATTACTTAGTTACTTAGTTACTTTTTAAAAACACGATTTACAACCTGAATAGGTGATAAAGCGATAGATCTTTCAGCCCAATTCTACTTTTTCTGCATAATCCATCATACAAAATGTAATCAAATGGAAAAGTCTCTTTTTTTAACTTGTTTTATCAGTTTTAATCTTTTAACTTTATGCATCAAGCAAAAATTTAATTATATGCAACATTCTCTGACTTGAATAAATTAGTTTAACATTTAAACCTATTTTCTGCACATTCCAGCACATAAAATAAAATATTTTTTGTGTTTACACTCACTCTTTCAAATAGATGCAAGTAAAACACAGCAGAAAATAAATAAAGTCAAAGACTCAGCGGTCCTGTTGCTCTATTTTCACCTGTAAAGCAGGACTGGGGTAGGCGGAGGTTTACCCTGGTGCAGGTGTGCGCAGCGGTCAGTTGAAGAATCCGCGAGTTTCTCTGTGAATTTCCCATTACGTCGTTGCGCACTCGGTGCTTGCTTGGAAGTTTAGGGGTTTTTTTTCGCTGTAAAAAGAAGTTTTCTTCCCACGCACAACGGACGCTAATGTTTTTGTCACTTTTTACAATGTAGCTGCCATCACCAGTGTGTGAATGTGTGCGTGAATGGGTGGATGACTGGATATGTAAAGCGCTTTGGGGTCCTTAGGGACTAGTAAAGCGCTATATAAATACAGGCCATTTTTGTCACTTTTTATGGAATCAAACTCAAAGTAAGGTCAGTACTTCCACGCTTTAAACGCTGCACGCTCATACTCTCTCCCACAATCGATATGTGATCCATTGTTGATCTGCACACAGCTGTTGTCACTAACGGCGCACTCGCTTACGTCACTGTCGTGAGACATTCTCGCAAAAAATCACGGTTTTAGTAACGCAGTAACGCAGCGTTCCTACGGGAAAGTAACGGTAATCTAATTACCGTTTTTGCAATAGTAATCCCTTACTTTACTCGTTACTTGAAAAAAGTAATCAGATTACAGTAACGTGTTACAAGTAACGCGTTACTGCCCATCTCTGGTCCAGAGACACCATAACAATGGCCAAAACACTTGTGAATGACTTAGCCAAGTTGGGAAATGTAGTTCCAATGAAAACAATCACTCCAACCTTGCAGAGGAATGGAGTGCGAGGTTGCACTTCACTTGGCTGCTGGTTTAGCTCACTGGGATAAGCGGGTGACCATATGCTGCCTTGCAGAGAGCAGCCGGCCTAGGTTTGGTTCCAACCCGTTGCCCTTTGCAGCATATCTTCCCTTTCTCTCTCTCCCTCTGTTTTCCTGAGAAGAGGGAGCATAATCTCATCAAGGTGCAAGGAATCGTGAAGAAGAAAGCTATGTGAAGATTTTGAAAGAAAACCCCAAGCAGTCAGCAGGATAACTGGGTCTGGGTCATCATTTTGTCCAACATGCTGACTCATAATGCTCCCTTTGAAGAACTATTTTCATAAGTTAACATTATTGACTGGGAGCTTACTTGAAGACATATAAGAGACAAGTGTCAGTTGACTATTTTTTTTTTTTGCTGGATAACAATTATTATATAATTATTTTAAGTTCAATCAGAAAGATCTGTGGTCACACATCTGTCTGCTTTCCAGGTTTTTGGTGGCTAATTTAAGTTTTACATCACTTTCCCACTCTGTCAAGCTCACTGTGGACATCACTGGTCTAGTCCAATTATCTTTCTCCCTGCGTTCTCAAGGCCAATCAGCCTCCACTCCCCATACTTTAAATCTGTCATTCTGCTTTGCAGATGCCTTCATGCAACCCACCTCCTCCCCATCTCCTCCTTACCTTACAAGTTACTCAGGCTCCATCCAAGCCTTCATCTTCATCTCCACCACCAGCATCTAGACTCCACTGGGTCCTGCTCTAACTCCTATCATTCTGCTGTGTTGGGCCGTCAGAGTTTAACTGCCAAATAGATTAATTGAAATCTGTATATCAATAAATCATGTTCAATTCTGTCTCCTTTTCAGAAGTGACTGTTGGCATCAGAGGGGTACTGAAACTTGTTTCCGCCACTGAACAAAGTTTTTTTGACATGCATAACTCGAAATTTTGAATTAGGTATCTTTAAATCCCCCACTGCTGCTCTTGATGCCTCCATTACTTTGTGTTGTCGACTCTGTGGTCTGCTACAGCTGAACACAGGATTGTCACACCAGAGGATTGCAGCAATGCCATCCTGGTAAACAGGAGCATGACTCATTGTCACAATGATATCACCAGATTTTGAAAAGCAACTACGAGTATTGAGATTGAAAAGGAAGAATGTGACCATTGACTTACTATGGTCTGACTGGTCTGATCACTGGTGTGTGCCTGCATGTAAATGTAAGTGTGTGTGTGTGTGTGTGTGTGTGTGTGTGTGTGTGTGTGTGTGTGTGTGTGTGTGTGTGTGTGTGTGTGTGTGCGCAAAGGTGGTTTATGAGGAC